GGTGGGGGGGGGGTTGCTTCTGGCGCCTACACGGCTCACCTTCTCTGACCTAGGAGCTTGGGATGGCAGTGGGGGAGGTTCCTTCCGGGTGCTGGGACCGGCTCAGCTTCTCTGCCCTAGCTGTATGAGATATTTTTATACTAAAAAAATTTATGGCTTTTTTGAAATTCAAATTCCATTGGATATGCTGGGGTTTGTAATTTAATTTTATTTTATTGTGGGTTTTTGCATGTTTAAGGTTTAACCATGGCTCCTCCATCCATTCCTACGCAGGAGGGGATTAGGGAGCACTAACATAAGAGGCAGTAAACAAAATGTAGAAAATATTTAATGTTTCGTAAGAGAGAAAAGAAATAGAAGGAAAAAGGAAAATAATATCCACATGATTAACATTTTTACCAATGGGCAGTCAGCTGTTTTGTCCCTGCAGTTAAAATCTACTGGGCTTTCAAAAACTCCACTTTATTCTTAAGATATCATTATCTTATCGTTAAGAAGGAGAAGTAGCAGGAGACAGGTGGCATGGGTTAGAGGTCACCCACTCTGAGGCTGAACCTGTAGGCTGGGCACAGGGCAGAGAGAACCCACGAGCCAACTGGTAGGTCCGGGCAGTGGTCCTCTACCCAGCAGTCCCCTACTGGGTATACACGCACAGAAAGTGAAGTCAGAGTGTCAGAGACAGCTGCCCTCCCATGCCCATTACTGCATGTTCACACAGGCAAGATATGGAATCAACCCAAATGTGTGTGGGTGGTTGGGAAAATGCACACGCGCTGGAATACGGCCAGCCTTAATGGAGAAGGAGGTCCATCAGTGTGAAGACATGGATGAGCCAGGAGGACATTATGTTAAGTGAAATAGACGAGGAACAGAAAGCCAAATATTGCGGGATCTCACATCTGTGGGGAATCTAAAAAACGCTGAACTCAGAAACAGAAAACAGAACGTGGTCATCCGGGGCTTTGAGGGTGGGACTTGGGGAGGTGCTGTCACCACATTAAAATTTCAGTTAGACTGGAGGAGTACATTCAAGGTATCTGTTGAATTAAATAAAAATAAAAAGATGATGGCTTCCAAAGTACATTAGTCTCAAACAACTCCCACAACCTCAGAGGTGTTACTGCAGTGTTGTAGTCTCATCTCCAAACTTGGCGCCTGGAGTAATCTCTCCAGCTCCACCCACTGCCCATTTCCCTTGGGCTAGGCCGGAAGCAGTAGCTGTCCCATGCTTTGGCAAACACAGTCATTCTGGGGTTGCCCAGATCCAACCTTGGCTTCAGGACCGTTGGACCCACTGAGTCTACCGTGAGAATATCTCCCCCCAGCCCCACTGGGGGCCCAGAGTGTGCGCAGCAGACCTGCTTCCCAGTCCAAAGGTGAATCCACAGCTCACCCCTCAGAACCCACTGTGGTTCAGACCGCGCTGTCTCCTCAGGTGCAAACCAGCGCCCTCTGCCCACACTCACCTCCATCTCTCCAAGGGAGCCCCAGCTTTGTAGTCCTCCTAGTCAAGATCCTTGGTGTCAATCTTACCTTGTCTTGCTGTCACGTCCTTCATCTAAGCCAACAAAACAAAATATTCTGTTACCTTTACCTTTTTGTTGTTGTTTTGTCTTTTTGAGACAGGGTTTCACGATAGGGCCCAGGCTGGCCTCGAACACAATCCTCCTGCCTCAGCCTCCTGAGTGCTGAAATTACAGGCATGTGCCATTGCGCCCAGCCTGTTATCTCTACCTTCAAATCATAAGGAGTCTGAAGCTTTCTCACTACCTCCTCAGTGAACACTCTGATAGCCATCATCTCCAACTGGTTCCCTGACTCTGTCTTAACCCTGAGTCTAGGCTCAGTGCGGCACCTGAACCTGAAGGATCTTTTAGTGGAACTGATGCATCAGTTCTCATTTTTAAAGTTCCAGTGGCTTCTTAGGTCTGGGAGCCTGTCTCACTCAGAGCCCTGCTCCGTGAGCTTACAAGGTGTAAGTGTAAGACCCAGAGACACCCCCTCCCACTCTGTCCAGTCCCCACCCAACTTCTTCCTTGCTCATTTTGGGCCTCACAGAGCCCAAGGCTGTGTTTAGAAAACTCCTGCTCCAGAGCTTTTGCGCTTGCTGTTTTCCTGGCCTGAACTGTTCTTTACCTGAATTATGTGCATAACTCATTCCTTCAGACTCCCTTCAGGCTGGGACTTAAAATGCACCGGAGAAGTGAGGCCTTTGATGGTCTGAATGAAAACAGACACCCTTGCCCTCCTCCTCCCCTCCCCACCCCCATCCCCCATGCCCTGCCCCATCCCTTCATAATCTCACTTCCTCCCTCAGCTGTTTCATCCTCCTCCACTGACTTTATCCCCTGTCTAACATGTTTGTCTGTTTTCCCCTGCCTCCACTGCTGGGAACCTAAGCTCCAAGCAAGAGAGAAGGGATTTTGTCTATCCTGTGGCATGGAACAGAAACTAAATTAACAGTTTAAATGAATAAGTATTGCTAGGTCTATGTTAGGGTACCTGGTTATTCAAACATGATGCACTTAAATAGCATTCTTCAGGCATAAAATGTAAAAAAAAATGAAATGGTTAATAATCATAGAAGGTGCTAGGGGTGTAGTTCATTGGTAGAGCACTTGCCTAGCATACTTAAGGCCCCTGGCTCATCCCTGACACCACAAAAAGAAATAAAGAATTGTGAACAAACTGCAGTGCACTGAGCCTTTGGGTCTTGCCCAGATCCACATGTTGAAAGCCTGATCCCAATGTGTTCATAGAAGGTGGAGCTTTGGGTAACTGGGTCATGGAGGTGGAACTGTCCTAACTGGATTTGGGTCCCGAGGAGAGGCCAGGAGGCAGGGGTGTGGCTCAGGGCCAGGGCACTGGCTCAGCAAGCAGGAGGCCCTGGGTTCAGTCTCCAGCACCAGAGAGAGACAGAGACAGAGAGAAGACAGCGAGCCTCCAGCCCTCGCCATGCTGCACCCTGTGGGGACAGAGTCTTAAGACACCATGTGCACACCCAGAAGTCCCTCCATGGCCACCAGATCTGCCATCACATCGCTCTCAGCCCTCCCAGGCCCAGGACCATGAGAAATGCATGTGTGTTCTTTCCACCACCCAGTCCACAACGTGTTGTAATAGCAGCTTGAAGTGGAGCAGTCAGCCTAGCTGCCCGAATAGGGATAGGGCAGGAGGAGGAGGTCTGCTGTGGCTTCACCCTCTTGGGACAGCAGGAGGTGGGGCGTTTAGGGAAGTGAAGGGCCCTGAAGTAATGGGAGGTCTAAAAGCAGGAGTCCTCACAGTGGGTGCTGCAGTTGGAGAAGAGAGACACTTTTCCTCTGTGAATGAGTTGAAGCCACCTCTGCCTGTCCTGCTTCTCTCTCCACCACTTTGTCCTCAGGGTTCTGCAGTCACCAACATAAGACATTGTTACCATCCCCTCCATATATCATCCACAGCATAAATCAGAATATTGGCTACATGTGTTCTTTAGCTCTACTGTTCCATGCCTAGGTATCCATAGAATTGCATATGATTCATAGATATACAGACATAAATAGAGACAGGATATTTATTGCAGTATTAGTCTAATGATCACAGAGTTGGGGGAATTCCCTCAATGTCCATTGGTAAGGGGATGGCTAAATAAATCATGGCATGTTTATATCATATATATAATGATTTAAAAAGAATGAGAAATATATTTATAAACTAACAGAAAGTGCTCCAAAGCATAATATTAAATAATGCAGTAGGTTACAGGACATTACTTGGAGTCCCCATGTGCCTGTATAGTCATAGAAGAGCCAGGGGGTAGGTGTGGTGCACCTGCTGCCATCCCAGCACTCAGGAGACTTGAAGTAGAAGGCCTCTCTCCTCTCTCTCCTCTCTCTCTCTCTCTCTCTCTCTCTTTCAGAATTGAACCCTGGGCCTTCACATTAAGCTACATCCCCAGTCCTTTTTCACTTTTTATTTTGAGGCAAGGTCTCACTAAGTCTCTAAATTGCCCAGGCTGGGTTGAAACTTATGCTCCTCCTGCCTCAGGCTCCCAAAACGCTGGCATTACAAGTGTGCACCACCAGACTCGGCAGCGTAGGCAGATCTTGAGTTCAAGGCCAGTCTGGGCTATGTAGCAAGACTCTGTTTCAAAATAATAATGACAATAATAATAATTATGATATTATAATATATTATATAAGAGCATAGAAAAAGATCTGAAAGGAAGTCTGACACAGAGTTAACAACAGTGGTTATTTCTATGGAAAGAAGTATGTTTACAGGAAGATGGAATGTGGATTTTATATTATCATACACTCCAGTTAATGTTTAACTTCCAACTTCAAATGTGTACTCATGTATTGTGTGTGTGCGTGTATGTGTTGTGTGTTCTATAAAGTGCCTTGCACCGCATTCTGACATGGTAGTCAGAATATGTAGGTCAAGGGCCGGGGATTTAGCTTGGTGGTACTGCCGCCTGCCTCAAAAGCGCAAGGTCCGAGTTTGCTCCCCAGTACCAAAAAAATAAAAAATAAAAAAAGAATATGTAGGTCAAGCCTGTCTATATTTGTTATATAAACAGATGGATATCTATTGAATGAAAACAGACAGTGTTATTACTTTGGCGAAAGCACAATTTCCAAACAGGTAAAATCATAAATCTCACACAAATATAAAGCAAACACATATTGGAGATTTAGTTTAATGCATTTGTTAATGGGAGAACTAGAGAAATATTAAAATTTGTCCCAAAAGGATTATAACTTGAAATGATTTATATTCTCAGCCAGGCACTGTGGTGTATGCCTGTAATCCTAGCTGCTCGGAAAGCTGAGGCAGAAGGATCACAAGTTAGAGGCCAGCTTGGACCTTGTCTCAAAATAAAAAATAAAGAACTGGGAATGGAGCTCCATGGCACAGCACTTGCCTAGCAAGAGCAAAGCTTTGGTTTCAGTTTCATGCTCCGAAAAAAAAAATCACATTCTCTACCTGACAGAATTCATTCGCAGTTCCATGGATGAGAACCGCATGGATGATTATCAGTCTTCCAGAAATAAGCTTTTGTCCCTCAAGTTGTAAAATGGCCTTAGTGACAAAAACAAGCAAAGGTGCATCCCCAAGATGCCCTCGTGTGGAAGAGTGGATAAAAAGAGGGTGTGTTTATATGATAGAATACTACTCAGCCACAAACAGAAAAGCAATCCTGTCTCCTGCAGCAACATGGTTGCAACTAGAGGTCATTAGAAGTAAGCCAGACACAGAACAACAAACAGTTTCTCACTGGCTTGTGGAAACCAACAAGTTGATCGTGTAGAGGAATGGAATGGAGTGGTGGTCACTAGCGGCTGGAAGGGACCTGGGGGAGGGTATGGAAAAGAGTTCCACCAGCAGCACCAAACACAGGCACAGAGGAGGAATTACTTCTGGTTCTTTAGTACACAGGGTAACCATGGGCTTCGCAATCTGTGACAGTTTTCAGAATGGCTGGAAAAGGAAACCACCCCGCCTCATAGCAATGACTAATGGTCGAAAGATGGAGGATGCTTGTTACCCTGATTCGATTATTATACATTGTATTTACCTGTGCTGAATTATTACACGGTGCCTCATAATGCAGTATGTGCTAATATTATGTGCCAATTAAAAAGTGTTAAGCAGGGAAATTATGCTGTAGTTAAAAAAAGAAAGAAAAATTGGAATAATGGCAGTACTTATTGGTTGGGGATGTTCTGAGCCTTCAATAAGAGGTTGCAGGTAAATATTATTATGATGGCAGACTTTCTGATAATTTTCCTGTGAGCAAATAGTTCTATATTTTCAATCATAGAACTTATTTTATCTCTTTTTTTCTCGATGTTATTGCTCATAAAACACATTTTTTTAAAAATTAATTTTTTTTTTTTTAGTTTTTTGAGACAGGGTCTCCCTGTATAGTCCAGGGTGGTCTTCAACTCACTATGTAGTCCAGGCTGGACTCAAATTCATGGCTATCCTCCTGCCTCAGCCTCCCGAGTTCTGGGATTACAGGAGTGCATCACCACACCTGGGCTCAAAAACAACTTTAATGACTCCATGTTTTATTGTATGATTGTGCATAATTTATAAATATTTGACATTTTAGATGTTTTCCTTGTCATAAACATTAAGTTAAGGTCATTGTATATCTTTCAAATTTTAGCAAAATTCTTTCACCAAAATTCTGGAGATATTTTTAGGAATTTTATATATGTTAATAAAATTATGAAAATTTAAAAACAAATCCTTGTGATACCAGAAAATACCCAGCAGGCTGCTATGCACTGCCAGAGTCCACGCATGGATAGTCAGGAATCATTTCTGCTCAAGTTCAAGAGTTTGCCAATTTTTCCTGACACTTCCATGTTTACAGTCATTCTTGGTGTTTTGAATCTCTTATGAACCTCTTTTCTAATATGTGTCAATGAGCCCATATTTCTGAATAATCTCTTCACACCTATGTTACTATTCATTTACTCTCTTGACAAGACTGTCACGTAACAAAGTTTTCTAAATTTGATTCACAAGTAAAACTTTCTCTTGTGAAAATCTGCCTCTTTGCATAAAGTGATTTCATGGCACTACTAATGTCCTCACATGTACTGGAAATAATGTGATAAAACCTAATTAGAGTAGGTCATTTTGGTATCTCTTTCCTAAACTCAACAGTATAGTATTTACAGCCTGTATAGAATATTAATGAAGCTGATTTTGTTATAAAAAGTAAAAAGACAAGCTGGGCATGGTGGTGAATGCCAGCTACTCAGGAGGCTGAGGCAGGAGGATAGCAAATTCAAGGCCAGCTTGAACAGGAGGGGCTGGGGAAGTGGCTCAGTGGTAGCCCATGAGTCCCTCAGTTCAATCTCCAGACACAGTCACACACACACACACACACACACACACACATGAAACAAAGAAGGAAGGAAGGAAATAAAAGACAAAATTAAAACAAAAACCACTACTACCTGAGATCTTTCTTAGGCATATTAGGTTACCAACCACTCCTGCCCCATCCTTACTCTAGGTTTCCTGTTGATATAGGGGAGATAGATGTAACTCCCAACCTGCTAGATGTCAGACAAAAGAAGTTCGTGTTCCCCAAACTCCATGAACGAATTCTAGGAACAATGAATGTTAAGAAAGGGAAAATTTATTGGAGAATAGGAACACAGATTAAGAATGTGGAACAGGAATAGCTCTGGGGAGACAGGAAGGGTTCCCAATGGGTTGCCAATGAGCTCACTTCTCAAAGGAAGTTTTATAGGGCAAAGTCATGGAGGGAATGTGGGTAAAACTATAATCAAACAGTAAAATTACAAGTACAGTCACATAAGCAATATTGACCCAGCCCAGGCCAGAGGAAGGGGCTTCTGAGCTGCCTTCCCACCACTCCTGGACCACAGAAAGGGGCTTCTGGGTCTCTGTCCATGCTGCCACTCCCAGCCCAGAGGAAGGGACTTCTGAGCCACTGTTCCACCTCTCCCAGCTCAAAGGAGGTGAGCCACATGGGTGCCAACAGCACCCCCCCTTCCCAGTCAAAATGAGAAGACACATAAAGAAGTCTGAAAACCAGACCTCCAGATCACCTACCGCAACCCCAAAGGGAAATAAGATGAAACACTCTGATGTTCAACCACCTGGACTCCCTGAACTGGCAACAAAAGAGGATCTGAAAAAAATGAAATCAGAAATAATTTCTCAGATAACAGCAGAGATTGTGCTCAT